CAAAGATGACGTAGGGTCAAGCTGGGCTCAGAAATCTGGGGTTCTCAGAAAAAATTCTAGGGATTTATTCTAATTTGGATCATTTCCACTTACCACTAGTTGTCATGGCAATGTGCCTACACTGTTTCAATGTCTGAATCTGACCATTGCCAGAAAAGGCTTTCATTCCTGGCTTACTTATGATGTACTCATTAGAGAGTGCAATGAAAGCTTGAGAGACATTTTCTGTTGAGTGAGCACTAATGAACTCAACATGGTGGTCGGCACTGGAAAGCCTTGGAAGAACTAAAGACACGTTCCCGCTCTCAAGGGGTAAGGTCATTGAACTCAGCTGTGTCCTCAGGCAGACAGCTTCCCTGGGCCAGTGTCACATCTTTAAAGCAAAGGCAACACTACTGTAAAATATGTTATTCCTAAGGAGCTAAAGGCTATATTGTGGAGACAAGATCAACACACATAATTTGACAGAGAGAACCTGCAAAACAACATAGAATGGTATCCTGGGTTGTCTAACTGGTAAGAGAAGGGTCAGCTAGGATTGGCTTAGGTCAGGGTGGTCTCCACAGAAAGGGAGATCTTTTCAGGTAGACAGAATTAGGGGGGCAGGATTTGGATTAGAGAAACAATATCAAGGGTCTTATGTGAGTCTAGCAAGGCATGTAAATTCTAATGGTTACCAAGAAGTACTAGCTCTGAAGCAGTTCATGGTGGAGGCCGCATTTAGAAGAGGAATTTATTTTAGGGAACTTAGTGTTTGGAAATTCCCTCAACAAATAGAGGAGTTCAGTCACAGTAGAGTCAATGTTTTATTGTTTTTCTGATAAATAAATGCATAGGATCCAATATTTTATGCCTACTATGTGCCAGACATTCTTCTAAATGCTTGTTGTTAATTTACTCATTGAATTCGCACAAGAACTCTATAAGTTAGCAAACTGAGGCACAGAGAAATCAAGTAGTTTCTCCAAATTCTCAGTTAGTGAATGGCAGAACCAGAACCCAAGCCCTGCTAATTCAGGTACTTCTCTGCTCCCTGGTGTTTATAGAAAGATATTTATAAAAGAAAACATGGTCTTTGTTCCTAAGAGCCATTCCTACCACTGGCCTTTCATACCCCACTGAAGTCATGGCTGTCTCTGCAGGCTCTCTGACTCAGCACAGTGGTTTGTGGGATGGTAGATTGTCCATCCCTCGTCCACGAGTGAAGGTAAATAAGGAGCCATGGCTGAGGCTAAGATCCTAAGGGTCAGTGGTGGATTTCAAAACCTCCAGCCCTGCTTGTGGAATTCTGCTCACACACTCAAGGATGAGTAGGTTTGGGAGCTGAATTCCAAATGGAAAGTAGAATGAACTTATTCCTGTTCTAAAGCAATGAGGTTCTGGGAAAATGCAAGTCTCCTTCAAGGCTTCGATATGTCAGCCAGTCTTATGTGATGCTCAGAGGCAAGAATGTTCTTCATCATCATCATCATCATCAATAACAGCAACAAATAGTGAGCACCTCTGCAGGGCAAGATGCCAGGTGCTGTGTGGAATACAAAGATGAGTAGGATAAAAACTCTGCCTTATAATCTAGAAGCAGACAACTGTAATCCAAGGAAAAATGTCACAAGTGTCAGTAAGCATTATATCTCTGCTTCTGGCTTTTGGCCAGTCATGTTCTTAACCAACTCCTACCTAGCTCCAAGGTGAGCCCTAAAGGAAATGAGGTGGGAGCCCTGACAGGTGACTGTGGCTGGGACTGCATTTCCTAAGCAGAGCAGGTTTGAGTCAAACTAGGCAAAGAGGGAGGACGATGAGGCCGAAGCTTGATAGTAAGAGAGGATTTTTGAAAAGACATGCTGAGAAGCAGGAAAGAACTAGAAAGAAGGGAGGGGCCTCACCAGGGCACAAAGGAGGTTGAAAGTAGGGAGAACGGACAAGATAGGCAGGACTGTGTACACAAGACTTAGGTCTGTGCTGAGGACACAAAGGAAATGACTGAGGTAGCCGGTGAGAAGCAACAGCTGGAAGAGCCCCCCAAGGGCAAATCCTACCAGGGCCACCTACTTCCAACTTCTGCACTGTGATGGGACAATTGCAGGTTCCTTCTGGTAGCCCTGGCCAGAGGAAATTCACACTGAATTTGAAGGGACCCTGCTCTAGGGATAAGGAATCCCATTTAAATGATTCTAAGTTTGCTGCCTCCATAGGCATCTCCTCAAGAGCATTGGGGGTGAAGGGAAGCTGGTTGCAGGAGGGGGACTGAGTTTTTCTAATTCCCATCCACTGATTTATGGCTGAGTTTGCCATCAGTGTCCCTATAATACTATCATTCGATGAAATTTTTAGTTTGGAGGGTTTTTTAAATTAAATTTATTGGGGTGACATTGGTTAATAAAATTATATAGGTTTCAAGTGTGCAATTCTCTAATACATCATCTATATATTGCGTTGTGTGTTCACCAACCAGAGTAAAATCTTCTTCCGTCACCATACATTAAGTTTGGTTTTTTGGGGTTTTTTTGTTTGTTTGTTTTTTAAAGATTTTATTGGGGAATTGGGGAAGGGGAACAGTGTGGAGGAATTGGGGAAGGGGAACAGCCAAGTTGTTGTCCTTCAATCTTAGTTGTGGAGGGTGCAGCTAGCTCAGCTCCAAGTCCAGTCGCCATCCAGCCACCCGTCGGCAGCTTGCGGCTGCTCAGCTTAAGGTACCATGTTCAATCTTAGTTGTGAGTGGGCATAGCCCACCATCCCATTCAGGAGTCGAACCTGCAACCTTGTTGTTAAGAGCCCAGGCTCTCACCAGCTGAGCCATCCTGCCACCTGTTGGCAGCTCAGTGGCAGCTCAGCGGCAGCTCAGCTCTGGTGCAGCTCACTGACCCATGTGGGAATCAAACCAGCAACCCTGTTGCTCAGATCTCGCGCTCTTAACCAACTGAGCCACTCGGCTGGACCCTAAGTTTGGTTTTTAAAGCACCTCCTTTGCCTTGAGCTGAAGCAAGCTCTTCCCTTGCTTTACCAAAGTCAGCAATTCTCTACATTTTTGGACACAGATCCACCCCTCAGGGTCCACCATGCTACGTGGGTCACAGCCCCAGAGCAACACCTTCCTGGACTTCTTTTCAGAAGCCTGTGACAGAAACCAAACTTCTTCAGTCCGAGGTGCAAACAGACATATGCTCGATATAAGAGGAAGTCTGAACTGATTGTTAAATATTTGAACAGCAGAAGAAGCAGGAAACAATGAGAAACAAAAGCACCCTCCAGGTCTGAGTCACACGGCCATCTACTCTGGCAGGCCATGTCAGGCACGGGCAAAGGTAAGTGTAATTAGGTTCCACGTTATTTAGTCTGGAGAAAAAGCTATCTGTCTGATGATGCTGTGTGCCGGCTCCTTTCACTGGCGTAAAAACAGAACCACTGTCAAAGAGCCTCCAACTTCCATTGCAGTCCCAGTTGCTCTCACATCCTGCTGTGGCGAGAAATCATCAGTTCTTATCTATATACATAGAGACTGCACTGTTCCTTTTTACTGGTGACGTTTTATTTTTTGAAAAATTTTCCACTATAATTTAAATAATACAATTCCCATAAATTTGCCATTTAGCATAACCACTAACACCACTGAGATGTATTTGTCCAATGTATATGGAACTTATATAATTACAATGTACTTAAAATTTTTAAAAACATTTTTAATTGTGGTAAAATATACATAATAAAAAGTCTATTATCTTAGCCACTTTTAAGTGTACAGTTCAGTAGTATTAAGCATAGTCACATGGTTGGGCAATCAACAAAATTCCAGAAGCTTTTCAGCTTGCAAAACTGAAACTAAACCCATTAAATAGTTCCTCATTTCCCGGAAACCACCATTCTACTTTCTGTTTCTATGAATTTGATTACTCTAGGTACCTCATATAAATGAAATCATACAGTATTTTTCTTTTTGTCACGGGCTTATCTCACTTAGCTTAATGTCCTCAAGAATCATCCAGGTCGCAGCATGTGTCAAAATTTCCTTCCTTTTTAGGGCTGAGTAATATTCCACTGCTTGCATATACCACATTTCATTTATCCACTCATCCGTCGGTGAACATTTGGGTTGTTTGCACCTTTTGGCAAATGTGCATAATGCTGCTATGAATGTGCATAAAGTTTTATATCCTACCTTTCCACTTTCCATTATAATATCTATGTACCTATGTATCTATATCTAGATATCTANTCATCTCTTACTACCTTCAGACCCTATAAGATTTACATGAAGAAATTAAGGAAAATATCCTAAGAGGCAGGAATTGTGATTCAAAAACAAGATAATTGTAGAGTTGCTGGCAGTGTCTGTAAGTTCCTGACTTAACTTCCTCTGGTAATGTTTAGATGCAGCTAGTTCAGGTCAGAGCAAGCCCAAGATAAAACCATAAAGTAAGCCAGGCCTTTACTTAATGCCACCCTGTGGTCTTTTCTCTGTTCCCGCTTACCCTTTTATAGGCACAGTAGTGTTAGTACTACCAGTAACACTGTCATAGTTTGCAAAGTATTATCAAATACAATATTGAATGTATTCCTATGCCATTTTACACGAGTGAATGAACATGAGAGCCCAGACCATGCTCTCTTCCAGGCACTCAGTGCTTCCATGCTCTTCCAGGGAACACCTGTTAAACAGAAAAGCACTCTGTGTTCACAGGTTCTCTCTTCTTTGACTTACTCCATGTCTCTTCATTCATGGAAAAGTGCTAGGAAATGCTAAAATGATATGAAATGCAGGATCATGGGACAATGGTATTCTGTGTTACCCTTCCCAGAGACTTTTGCACTTCCAACAATAGTCTGAATAGGAGTGAGCAATGTGGGTATTTGGGGGAATGGTGGGGCAGTGTTTGTAAAATACTATGGGTTAAGTTTTGTAAACCCCATCAAGCTGAAACTCTAGCTAAAGATATAACAGGGCGGAGGCCAGGGACCCTGTGGAAGAAGCAGAGAGCACTCCTGCATGCTAACTTCATCTGTCACTCTCAGGACTTGGGATGCTGGCAAGCGTCTACACTGATGACGACGAGAGAGGCCGTGCCATGGGTATTGCCTTGGGGGGCCTCGCTTTGGGAGTGCTGGGTAAGTGGCACCTGACCTCAGATCTAGGTTCAGGAGGGTGAGGAACTGCAGACTCTCTGAAGATGGCTCCAGGAAGCAGGTTTCCCTCAGGTCATGGAAGACAATATTTTCCTTCCTTGTCTCCAATCATGTTTTGAGTCCTTCTGAGATTTTGCCCAGGAAAGATTAATCTTTTCCCTCGTAAGAAGCTGAATAGCCCATAAGGGCCTGGGAATGGCCCAGAAACCTAGTCTACTCAAGGGGGTGGATCTTCCCGTGTTAGCCGCCAGGGACTCACCTCGGCTTCTACACGTNAGAGATGCTCAAAGTGGTTACCATCAGTGTCCAGACACTTCTGATTACGGCGAACTACTGCTTGAGCAACGTTGACCAAAGTGTCTATTTGTATACATTTTTTTGGTACCCCTGGTATATGTACATATTAGAAACATGCCTCACATGTACTCGGTGCTCAATAAATGATGACCATTATTACTGTTACTGTTGTTTCTATTAGTGACCAAAGTATAATTATTCTCAGCTTGTATCTGCTCTTTCGGGCCCTCAGCTCCCCTAAACCTTGGTTTTCCAGTAATTTGGGGCATCCCCAGTTTGATGGTATCTCCGAACAGCTTTTTCTTCCTTGTGGAGGTGCTTCACCCAAGCTGTCTGCTGCTAATGTTGTCTACTAGACACAGTTTTGCCTTGCTGGTAGCTGCCCTAAGCCCTCAGAGTACCAAAACTGCTCTTAGGGTGGAGAGTATGGTGGCAGAAGTGTCATTTGGGCTCCAAACAGGTCACTGCCTTATGCCCAGAGTCTTGTAAATGGTTTTATTAATACAGCTCCTCCATCTTTTGGCCCTAACCCTCTCTCTCCATAGAGGCACAGGTTGTGTAAAGGGGCTGGTATGCCATGCTCCCTGGGGTAAACAGAACAATGTCCCCTCAGAGATGTCCACACTTGAATCCTGGAACCTGTGACTATGTTACCTTATTTGGTAAAAGGGACTTGACAGATCTTATTTAGAACCTTGAGATGGGGAGATTATCTTGTAATATCTGGGTGGGCCCAACGAGTTCTTATAAGTGAAAGAGGAAGACAAGAGGCTGAGGCAGAGAGAGAGAGAGAAAGTTAAAAGAGAGAAGTCATGCTGCGCTGCTGACATTGAAGGTAGAAGGGGCCAGCAGCCAGAAAATGCAGGCAGCTTCTAGAAGCTGGAAACGGCCAGGAAACGGATCTCATGTAGAGTTTCTAGAAGGATTACAGGTCTGCCAACAGCTTGATTTTTAGCCCAATAAGATCTATTTTGGACTTCTGNCAGGAAAATAAATTTGCTAAAGAAACAAGAAAGAGAAAGACTAATAGTCTATCCAGTAGCACATAAATGTTGCTAATAAAAAGGAGATGGAATAAGAGCAGTAAGTGAAAAAAAAATATGTCTGGAAGTTGACTCTGAGAATTAAAATAAGAAGGAATGAAAGGGGGGCTGATTAATGTTGGAGAAGGCAGCCTGTGGACCCCACTATTGGCCCCTGATCCTCTGCTGACTGCTCGGAGTGACACACCTCTTTCTCTCTCCTGGGGTTTTTTTGTTTTGTTTTGTTTTTAATCACCTTTCTGTTGTTTTTCCACCTTTTCTATTGCTTCCCCTCAAGTTTTCTTCCATTCCAGCATAGGGCTTGACTCCTTATCAACAAAGGCTTAACAGGAATTTGTCGCATTCAGGGCTGCAAGGCTGCAAAGTGCAGGAGCTCATTTTGTGAAGTTCTGTCTGGAAACTGTAGCGTACTTGAGAAAATTCTGGCTGAATCAAAGAAAATGAGGAAATTCAAGTTAGAAACATTTACTGAACGTCTAGAAGCTCAGCCCGTGCTAAACAGTAAATTAAAAACTAATAAGATGCTCTATTTCATCAAATGAGACATAACTCATTCTATAATACTTTATGTCTCGCACATATGATACCTCAATGGTATAATAAAAGTCACTGCGGGGAATGTAAAGAATGAAAAGACACCATTACCAGCTCCCCAGGAGTTTATGATGCTGTTACTGAACAGAAAGAGTTCATCCACCCTGCATTAGCAGAGCCAAACACTAAACTCTTGAGAACTGCAGTGGAGAAAGCTATTGGCTATTTTATTATGAATGATGTCACCCAAGAGAACGGGCAGCTAATGCTCAAAAGCCCAAGCTCTCCAATGGTGTGTAGAGCAAAATCACAAGACATCGTGGGTTAGAGGTTTTGGGTCAAGCTGGGAGCTGATTGGACAAAAGTGAAGTAAGGGTAATAAATCATTTCTTCAGGTCTTGCGGACAATTCTGAGGTCTGTTCCAGTGTCCCCAAGTCTGGTTTCAGGGAAAAGTAGCCTGGGGGCCATTACACCTCAGGACTCAGGAGCTGAAACATTACTTAGCTCAAGATGTTATCTTTAGCCTGCTAGAGGTCCAGACCTTGTGCTCTTTAGTCGGGTCTGCACTATTATCTTCTGCTGCCTTGGGGGTTACTGATTATCCAGGGGAAAGGCTAAGTCTCTGGAGGATATATATACCTGGGATGCCAAAAAAATGTATACAAGTGGACACTTTGGTCAACGTTGTTCAAGCAGTAGTTTGCCATAATCAGAAGTATCTGGATGCTGATGGTAACCATTTTGAGCACCTCTTGTAATTGCAGAAGTCAAACGTGACTTGTATTCATCTTTTGTTATTGGTATATATTGAATACTTTAATACAGTTTTCCTTTCTTAAAATGTGTATAGGTTTTTTTGGCACCCTCTGTATATATATGGAGAGAGAGAGAGAGAGAGAGAGAAATGATTTCTAGAGCTAAGTTTTAAAGCTAAATTTAATCAAAGTTGTAAGGACCCTGGGTTTCCGTGCTTGCATGGGGAAATGTGAAAAACATCCTGTGGAATAAGATAATGCTAGAGGATCCCAGACTCTTTAGCATAAGGTCCTCGCCTGACTCTGCCAAAAACTCATGTTTTGAAAGCTTTTCTTATCTACCAAACTGTATATATTAAATAATAATTATTGTTGCCATGCCATAACCAGTGTTGCTATACTGAGTTGGCCTGATTCTAGCAAAGGTTTGGTATTTGGGGTCTCCCATGTCATATGAGGGTTAGGGCTTTGGAAATACTAAAAAAAAATGGTTGCTGCTGCCCATTACCACTCTTAAAGGCCCCCAGCTGGGAACATTGTTTAATGTGATTAGGAGCTAAATGTTGGCCTTGTCAAGATAAGAAGTGAAAAAGAAATTGCTNAGGCAGATCCATCACCGGGCTCTGGACGGCCGCTCACGGTGGCTCTTGGCAGCTCACACCGGCTGCCAGCCACTCACGTTGGCTGCCGGCCACACATGGTAGTTTATGGCAGCCCACTGCAGCAGGGGCTGCAGCCTATGCCGTTGCTGGTGACTCATGGCAGCCCAGCTCCAGGTAGAGCTGTTGTTCATCTTAGCTGTAGAGAGTGCAGCATCACTGGCCCTAATGTAGGATCTGAACCGGGGCTCTGCTGCTCAGAGCTGGCGTCCCAAGCCAGCTCTTAACCAACGCGCCGGCCCTAAAGTTGTTTTTTTAAACAAGAATTTATTTCAGTTTTTTAAAATGGATTTAGAGGAACAGACTAAGTAAATAATAGTACAAGTAGTCCTCAGATATGTCATAACCTTTGAGGTGATAGGCAAATGACTGACATTTGAAAAACAAAAAGCTAGGTGATCTCCAGGACCTTCATAATGTGCTAGGTAGAATTCCAAATTTTAAAAAACTGGTAAATAGCATTTACTTGGAAGGCATTCTGGAAACCAAGTGAGGTTATTAAGATGCATAAGAAGTGAACAGAGACACAAGCATAGGAAAATTTCTAGATACCATCCTACTACTTGAAACTCTTTGTACCTTTTATTTTAATAGTGAGTTTCACTTGCCTGGGCAGACTTTCTCCCCTCTTGGTAAAGGCTGCAGAAGACCTGTAGGTGAAACAGGCCCTTCCTGAAGAACCTGGGGGAGAGACGCCCCAGCCCAGTCCTCACCATGCTCAGGGCGGCTTTGGACGCCCCTCGGCGGCTGCTGCAGGAGGGGAGAGAGTCCCGGAAGCTGGTGCTGGTGGTGGTGTTTGTGGCTTTGCTCCTGGACAACATGCTGCTGACTGTGGTGGGTACGTCCGGGGTCCTTGTGCTAGGGGTAATTTGCTCTGGGCCCCGCAGCACACACCTTGCGACCTTCAGCAGTGAATGGATTTCACACAGTTTGCTGAAAAGTGGAGAAAACAGCAGGAAATGGAGTCTGGAGCTTGCTAACTATTGCTGAAAGCCCCAGAGGCTCAAACAGAAGGAGGTTCAGAAAGGATCTGACCAAAAAAAGAGGCTCACTGGAGCCAGAACGGGTGTTACTTTTCTTCCTCCCCATGCTGCCTTCCCAAGGTGCTCAAGACTCCAAGTGGTCGCTGCAACAGTGAGCATCTTCTCACTGTGTTGCCTTTCCAATGTCTGCTCTACCAAAGTAATGTACTTTATATCGATATCCAACTTTTTATCAAAATAAGCCTGTCTCTGATGGTGCATTCCCTCAGAGTCCTGCTTTTTTTAGTTGGTCTATTTTTTGCATTCGGTTATGCCAGCATATAAATGGGTGCTAAAACTTTGCCCCAGTTGGGTAAAATACATGCTTTTAAACAAGAAGCTTTCTGAGACAAATTGTTAATGCAATATAGTCAGTTCTCGTAATGTGTGGTAGTTAGTTATGCCCTCTAAAGTCGCTGCAAACACTGAATCTAGACCATACTGAATCATTGCTCCTACAGGAAATACATACAACTTACACCCCATGTAAATTAGACTCTTAAATCCTTAAAACAATGCACCCTGGTAGATTTTATTTTCTTTACAAAAGAGAAAATGAAGTTCAGAGTGTTAAGTGAGTGACTTGTCTGAGGCTGCCTCACTAACAGGTGCCCAAGTTGGGATCCCAGCTCTGTCCATCTGGCCCCAGAACTGGAACTCCTCGCCCCACGCTGGCCTGCTGCTCCCATCTCCATGCTCTGCCGTCTCCGCATGGGAGCTGAAACAGGAAGGCACAGCCTGCCTTGTTCACCCTCAGCTGGGAATGTGAGCATCTGCTGGCTCGAAAATGTCCCCGCTCTCCGCATGTGTATCCAAGAAAAATCATGATAGCTCCGCAAGTATTGATTTTGAGATTACAAATAAAATTTAACCAGTAGGTAAATTATGGAATCCATGAATAATAAGGGCCAATTGTTCGATGGTTGGAATTTAGGTACTTTAGCTAATAGGATCATTTGGGCAGGCACAGTCTTTTCGTGGGCTTCAAATCATGTCGCTTAGGACACCTGCCTTGAGCATGACACTGAATTCATAGCAATGCCCCTGAACTGACTCGTGGTAAAAAGACAACCTGCCCTTAACCCTCATGACTTGTTCTTCTTGACTTTCAGTGCCCATTGTGCCCACCTTCCTATATGCCACAGAATTTAAAGAAGTCCGCACTTTGTACCTCAGCCCTGTCACAACTTCCCNTTCTTGGTTAGCCTGAAATTGAACATTCCCAAGTTAATTCATACAATTAGGAGGGTCCTACCAGTTCCACAGTTAGGAAACCTCTGCTGTTGCATTTGCTCTTTTGTAAATTGTTTGCGGTCTTTGCCCCACTGCTGACACTTAATAGCAGGAAAATATAGATTAAAGTGCCACTCCAAGATCCCACAATGAGCTGTACTCTCTCATATGCCATCCATCCAGTCATCCATCCAGGAAATGTTGGCTGAAGGCTCCCGTGGGGCAGGCATAGAGCTGGTGCGAAGGCGACAGTGCACAATCTATGCCTTTACAGCGGCCATAGATGTTGGGTTTCTATGGCTTGAGAACAACATGTATAGATTTTTTTTTTTTTTAATCCTGTGGCTGTTCTAAGATTTGTTTCTTTCCAGAAAGCAATTCAGGTGCATGGGAGCCTCTTTGACTAAGTAGCAAGGGACAGGAACTGACTCTGGTTCCATTTTGTCTTCCAATTTGTGTTCAGGCCCAGGCAAGAGTTAAAGAGCTCCATGCTAGATAAGCACAGATGAAAAACAGTGCAGCCCAGTGCATCTCTGCTTAAGATAATTTCCCCTTTCTCTTTATTCTCTCCAGCCCTGCTTTCCTGCCTCTGACGCAGGGAGCTAAAGGTCTGAATGAAACCTGTTCCAATTAAATTTTTGTGGACAAAGGGCACACATGGCTTCCTCAGATAACAGGTGGTAATAAATCCATCAGCAAAGCCACTTTCAGAGAACACAGACCTCATTGAATTGCTAACAGCTGTCAATATCTCATTGAGTGCCTCATACAAGATGGGCTCGAAGGTAAGAAGTTNAATCTTTTCCCTCGTAAGAAGCTGAATAGCCCATAAGGGCCTGGGAATGGCCCAGAAACCTAGTCTACTCAAGGGGGTGGATCTTCCCGTGTTAGCCGCCAGGGACTCACCTCGGCTTCTACACGTGTCCAGCTTTCAACGTGAGAGCATGCTCTTTGTCAGATTTTGTGCTACATGTGTTACAGACATACTTGTAATCTTCTTCAATCCTCAGCACCATGCTGTGAAGGAGGAATGATGGCCCTCACTATGGAGATGAGGCTAAGAGAGGTTAGATAGTCATCCAAGGTCACACAGCCAGGAAATGCCAGAGCCGGGACACACACACAGATTTTTCTGGGCTCGAATCCCAAGCTCCAAACCATAAGGTTGTACTATCTTTGAGGTTCATCCCTCATATGGTTTAATTGACTAGTCCAACAAGCCACCCACTTTTACTGAGCACTTGTTATGTGCAAGCACAATGCTAGCCCAGAGGGGATATAGGTAAGAAGTCTCAGACATAGCTCCTGCCCATAGGAGCTTACAAGCTAATTGGGGAGGAAACAGCAAAAGTCTTTTCGCTGGCCCATACCCCACCTTCTACCACCACGGGGAGATGGAGCAAAACCCCTGCTCTTGGTTAGTACCCACCTACCCAATCACCCAAGCTAAAACCAGTGCATCCTGGTCTTTCTCACCTCTCACTCCCAAAGGAATATGCCCATTATAGCCTCTACAAGCCACTTCCTCAAGGTTAGCTCCTCACTATATTTCAATTGGAATGTGACCTCCTGCCTGATCTCTTGCACAGTCTCTCCTTCCTCCAAGGTACTCCAGAAGAAGCTCCCTATGTCCAGAGCTGGTGGTATTTCTCCCCTGCTAAAAAAACACTGATGTTTCTTTCTAGGCCACAAGGCCAAGTAGATGCTTTATCTGCATATGCAGGGCCCTTGGTTAATCAACCTTCCCAACCTCTACTCTTTCTCTCCCAAATACTCATATTCTAGTACCACTGACTTTCTTCTACTTCTTCTCCAACCACACTCTCTTTTCTGACACTTCCATGTTCTTTGCACATGATTCGTCCCCGCCAGCATTACCCACTTGACAATGAACTCACTCCACTGTCCTTAAACAGCACTTTGGAGATGGAAACTTTACTGTTGAACTTTACTTTTCACCATTATTTTCACCACTAATTATTTGGGTCCCCCCCCCCAGCAACCATGCACATTTTCTCCACTAGAATATGAGCCCCTTGGAACCAGGTCTTCTTCATTTCTGAACCCCCAAAACCTCATGAGGAGCTCAGCCCCAACTAGACCCTCAGTAAACACTCATGGGGTCAATGTGGACAAGTCATGCCTGCTGGGAACTGGCCCTCACCTCTGGAATCTGTGTCTGTTTTGCCTTTTAGTGGGAGCTCCCTTCGGAAGTGTGATGTATGTGTTTGTTGGGAAGTCATCACCCTTCCTCATCTTGGCCTTCTTGGCACTACTGGATGGAGGTAAGTCTCTATAAGAAGCCAACAGGAAGGTGAGAGCCCAGGTCAGGTTGGAAATGCATTATGCTGTGGTGTCAGCCTTGATATGTTCAAATGGATCAAGGACTGTACCATTTTAGGAAAAAAGGAGGAAACTCAGGGAGTTAGATCTGTCCATGATAGGGTGATAGCAGTGTGGCTGTTAAAAGCCTCCAACGAATCAGTGGACAAACTAAACTGTCACTCTCCTTCTTTCTTTCTTAGCACTCCAACTTTGTATCCTACAACCTTCCAAATTCTCTCCTGAGGTAAGTAGACACCAAGCTCCACTGTCAAGAGATACATATAGAATGGCTAATACAGTGACCCAGGCATCCCTAGGCTATCCCTGTCAAACCAGGAGAGGAAAGGTAAAGGAAAATGGAGTCAAGGAAAGTGAGAACTGTATGTGGATTCCCAGATAGGGTCATATTGAGGGCAGTGTGAGGGGTGGAGAGGAAGTTTGGCTTAATGTTAGATGAACATGGAAGAAGG